GAACCAACTTACTCACACTAATATGTAAAGAACACAGACTCTACAACCAAGCTTTCCAGACATATTGCAGTCAAGTGTAGCAAAAAGAGAAATAAAAGAATAAAACTTGGATAAAGGCATATGATTGGATTGCATGAAAATGTTGTCCAGTTTTGATAAATACTGTGATCCTACTAAATGATAAAAGCCTGAATGATTAAACTGAATGATTGAGCTGTATAAATAATTACCATTTAGTGGGAGGGGGGAGATTCAGATTGTTTCAAAAACGTGTGGTGATTCTCTGTAAGCTTGAGAATCACTCAGTACAATATATTCGAACAGCACAGAAAGGTTAAAAAATAAACACCTCAGTTTGACAGATCTGAGGGAGACTTGCCCTCTAATATAAAGATTACACAGGAGCTCTTGGGGATGAGTCACACTTCCACTGGTGCATAGGCCACTCCTGTGCCTTAAAGGTGACACCTTTATTAACTGATCTGAAATGTTAGTCACTTGGAGGGTGCCAGCTGAAATTGGAGTCAGTGACCTTTCACCAAAGGCCACAGTGCAGCCTCTCAGTAGGGCAGTAGGTAGTACTGCCATGGGAGCTGACGGTGGACGCTGTGACAAACCAACCCTCCTGCCCTGCATTGATGGTCAGGGAGAGCTCTGGAAAGGGGGATGTGGAAGGAGATTATTGAATAGTTCTCTCTTCTGGTGGCTAGCCAGGGATGATCTTCAAACGTGTGTCACATATGTGAAAAATGCTAACTCCAAAATGTCAGCCTACAGGCAAAACTGAAACACTGGGAACAGACCTAGCAAACATGGGCAGTATTGACTTTCCTCCTATAACCTTTACTTGCTGCCAGTATGATGTATTAAAAATAGATATATGCAGTCCAGGGATTCTTGTCAAGCTTGAAGGCAGAATACAGGCAAGGAATTACTGTAACTAGACAAAAATGTCTGCTGTGGGTACTGTCTGACAGGTCATGCTAACAGACTATTGAGGCACTGTAGTCCAAACTGATATATGGAATGCCAGAAAACAACTGTAAATCAACAAACAGCTGTAAGACTATCCTATGCTTAGTGTATTAAATAAAACATTGTGCCCAGCTATGGCTCTGGGGTCAGGTTAAATAAAAACCTCAAGAATCTAAAAAAGGTATGACAACAACAATCACACATTTGCATCTAGGGACAGCACCTGGAAAATCAGAGAGATTTAGAGTCCTTTTCAGCATGCTGCCCAATTTAGCTGATACAGTGAGCTTGGAGCCCTTTAAAGTACCATGAGGTATGCGCTGGAGTTAGCAAGTAAGGAAATGCTCAGAATAGGAACATGCATTTCCTTTGGGAAGTGTTTCAGCATGCAAGGCAGGAATTTCCATGCTTCTCATCAAAACTGTGAGAGGTTTGCTGTTTCTTTTGAAACCACAATGAAAAGACAAAAGAGATGCAAGGATGACTTTTTTTTTTTTGTCTCTTACAAGAGTCAGAGTATGGACATATACCAGTAGTCAGCTGCTCATGTGAAGAGGCAGAGGAAGCAGCATTGGTCCCAAGCAAGGAAAGGTCAGTGTGTGCCCCAGTGCACAGCTGTCCCTCTTGCTGTATGGTGGTATGAAGTCCTCCTCTCCCACATCAGGGTAGTAAACCCTCTCTTTCCAGGCTAGACCCCAGGCTGGCAGCAAGGGCATCTTGCTCGGAGATGTGGGTCTGAGTCTTCTCAGAGAAGGGAATTGGTCAGAAATTAGACAGCACGGTTGGTGTTCACAGGGTGCCTGATTTTGCAGGTGCATAGCAGGTGAAGTATGTGAGCCATTGTGTGACTACTTCCCAGAGCAGAGTCTGGCCTATAGAGGGGCCATATCCTGTGCAGAGCCAGTGTGCTGTGTGGCAAGTGAGTGCACCAGTGGAATGAGAGCTTGGTGGATATTGCCAGCACTGTCACAGTCCTTAATGGGCTCAGTTAGGCTATCTGCACTGATGTGTGCAAAGTCCTCAGGCAGGCAGGTTTATAGCTCACAGCACTCGTAGACAGGACCTGCCAGATCATGGACTGAGTCAATATTTGGTGTCAGTCTACCCAACAGGAACATCCATGTGTTCCTTAGTTTGAGTTTGGGAAAGGTAAGTGGGCAGTGAGAAATGTCAAAAATTTGCAGATTTTGATTGATTCAAAGAGCTTGTGAGCCACAGATATAAAGTGTATCCAGATAGGTGGATAGCCCATCTAGCTCCCAAGCACTAGCATCCTGTTCCCAGCAACTTGCTCTGAATCAGGTGTATTAAATGTCAGTATGCTTTATGGGGATCTTTGTACCTTCCCTCTTCTTGTACAGCAGAATCCTGTTCCATGGTAACGCATAGTCCCAAAACAACACAAAGAACACCTGGTGGGGGTTGCTAGCAACACTCGGGTTCATGTTTTCATCAAGTAAGAAAGTTAATTTCTGGCCAGCTCATCACAGCAGAATCTGTCTATGTACAAACTGTCTACACCTGCTCCTTATCCCATTCTAAATCTATTCCCAAAATGTCATTTTCTATCCTTGTGAAACTGGATCTGATAGAGTGACAACCAGTTAACAGTATGTCAGAATTAACATACACTAAGGTACATGTTTCACAAATCTTGATTCTTGGTCAGAATAAACTCAGACAGAAATGAGTAATTTC